GGGGTCGCTTATTTGAAGGGGGCGCTTATTTCGTTCTTCAGAATTCCAGCCTCGAAACGACCTTGTCTTTGTTTCATCTGAACAGAACCTGTCACGCTAAACAGGAAACCGTAAACATGGCTTTCACTAGAAACTAAACTTTGTGTGTTTTTGGTACTCATTTTTCGCTTTTAATGTCCTGTAGTCACTAAGGTCTTTCGCAATCCTTGTCAGAGGAGTCGTGCCTTCTACATGCGACAGTGTAATGTCCTCAAATTAGTCATTCTCTAGTTTACTATGTACATCTTATTTATGCTATATTTCTTGAAGGTACAAGAAGTGCATGCCTGATAGGGGGTGTTAGCCCTTTGCCGATGGATCGGGCCAATTTCGTTCCATACGGAACGATGCAGATTATGTGTTTCCGAACCCCCTTTACCTTCCGGTTTAAGTTATTAAGTTGCTAAGCAACGAATTCAGGAACGATAGATCTTATCACCGATACCTCATTTTGGAAATTCTAACCAATCCTGCCAGAGTTACACACAAGAAACCTACTAACATTTTGAGGAAAAATACACTGCCAATTTCGCTATTCACCGACTTCTCTTTGCAAATTAAATTTCTCCCTTTCCTGAAAAGTTAGCCAGCCACAATTTACTGGGGAAAGGAAGAAGATAAATTGGGTAACAAGGCAAGACTTAGAATAGAAAGAAAGATTGAAATATATATTTGCAAAAGAATCTCCAAATTTTGGCTTAAGTGCATGCACCAAAAACAAAAATGAAGCTTAACTGGCGGGAAAATATGCAAATGGTTAAGGGGGCGCTAATTCAAGCATTATCGGTAACTGAAGGAGGAAAAGCATTCCGTTTTTTTGTTCGAAACTGTATGAAGTTCGAAGGGTACATAGAATGTTGTGCCTCGTAGCACTACACTAACGGTAACTGATCGAACAAAGAGAGAATCGAATTAACTCTGAAGTAAAAATTCAAGTGCGACAATTAACCATTAAACCCCAATGAGCGTTATTTCCCAGTAAAGGGAATTAGGGGACCACACGAGGCAGGCATGGAAAGAAATCTTTTAAAATCGGTGGGATTTGAATTGGCACGACCTCTGGACTAGATCTACCGTAGCTTAACCGACTAAGCTATGAGGCCTGAGGAAGCAAGTCGTCGGGGATTAAAAGGTGGTGGATCAAAGCGAGGAAAGGTGTGAGGGGTACATAGAACGTTGTCCCGCATAGCACTAGTAAGAACAAATGATGGAATAAAGACCCTCTTTCTTCGCCACATTAACTGTCTACGAGCCTTTTTCTTGTATACCTGCGTGCCTTAAAAAAGGTACATTATACGGGTGGCTTTGCTGTGAGTACTAAGACAATGTTGCCATTAGCACTTAGTTCTTTTTCTTTTCTTTCTCAGCTTCTAGTTACTATGGCCGGTATCAATACTACTTAAAAGACTCAAAAGCGTTTCTGTTTTCACTGGTGAACAAGCCAGGATGGGCACCTGTCAAACTGCCCCTGAATGGGAGAGATTCATATAGCTACTCCATATACTTTTACTCATACAGTGGGCCTACATTCGGACGTGGACGTGACATTTACATTTCCAACTACGCGTCGTCCAATAGCTATTCTTACAGCAACCTTGGCTATACTTACAGCCAATACCTAAGGTACAGATACGGCTACAGCTTCGCCCAAACATTCCTGGCAGGAACATTCAAGTTCACACCAGACGAAGTAGAAACTTTTTACGAAACAACCAAAATGCAGTGAGCTGCATCAGCTTTGACATTTCGCTGGGCTTGTTTTCCTGTAGTGCACATAACTAAAATTAAAAATTCATAACTAAATTAATCGCAATTATATCCTGTCCTTGCTAAAAAGGCTATCTTTAACTATAAGGCAATTGGTTGCTGCCACGAAATAAAGCTGGAAGACTGATAGTTAAATAAAAGTACCCCATGAAATATTATGTTGAATAATATGATTATTCGGTATGTCACGGCTCTAGGGTTTAGTGCAAGATCCGTTTATTTTTTTTTTTTTGTGAACGCTTAAGGAGATGCGTTTTTAATAATATAAGACGTCACCGATTAAGCTCTCTTATAGTTATGTTACTTTTGCCCTTAAGGGAAAAAAGGAAGAATTTAAGAAATAAAAACCATTTTTTTTAATCATCTTTTGGAAGCCTAAGTTCAGACCGTAACTCCTGATACAATGTAGGCGTTTATACGTTTAGCAAGGGAGTTCACTTCCCAAATTTAAGAGCTAATACATAATTTCATGGCCACTTTTTTTTTCTATCAGGCGCTTTGGTACTGTCATTAAGTTGGACGAATCTGCACTAGGATTACCATTAACGTAACATGAAAACCAACGGTTAGAAGAGTTTCAAACAAAAACAAGAGAGGCAGGATTGCCTCAAAAGAAAGGTTTTCTGAGATCTGACCACCTATTGCCGCTCTGATTATGCACAGAGTGACAAAAGGTTTTGCATGTTTGAAACGATGTGCTACTTAGCTATGACACACTTGCTGCTTTTGTAATGAATTTCGGGTCACAGCTTTTTTAAGTAAACCTTTTGGCATGTTTAAGACGTTGCGCTAAATAGCTATAACAAACTTGCTTTTAATTTTGGTTTTAGTAAAAAGGGCATTATGGACAAACAAACAACAACAGCAACAACCGAAGGTGTAAGGTTACATGATAGCCACTAAGCAATACAGTTTATCACTGTTATTAACTGCGCTTTCTCGAAAAAGAAATCAAATAAGTGTTAAATGTAGTTTTGAGGCACTAAGGTCTGCTTTATGTTGACTTGTATGATTTTGTAGACATATCGTATAAGCAAATTTAATGTTCTTATTTCCATTAAATTCACAAAATTGCTTTTATCGTACCGATGTAATGAACCTTCGATCTAGTCACTCAGAATAGACGCAAACGCATTAAGCATGTTATTAACAATTATTCCTCGAGCCCGAGTGGCCTCTAAGTCAATAGCCCATGAGGCCATGAGGGCAAGAGGAATAATTGTTTTAGTAAAATCCAACTAGTTAGTCAAAAATATCGAGAATAAAAAAAAATTAGCTAGTTAAAGCTAGGCTTTAATCCTTTTTTGCCGCCAAAAGCCCGCGCTTTTTGCTGCTAGTGGGCTTTACATATAGTCTAGTAGTAGCTCAACCAATCAGAACGCAGCATTAATAATAGACCACTAGTTGGATTTTATTAATTTGATATCTTTATGGATCTAATTCTTTCTATGTTTTAAAAAACGTAGAAAGAAAATCAAGGCCTCTTTTCCGGCTTTTTCCCTTCTCTATTTGAACATGGATAAAGCCCTCGAGAATTCAACTTCATGAAAAGTCGCCTACAATTGACGAATCGAGCGATTCCAAATAGACGCGATAAAGTTCTCTGAAGTTTGAAAAGGTGCAAAATTCCTTTTTTTAGTGATGTTTTCACTTTCGTCGTCGTCGCCGTCTGTGCTTAAGGTCCCTTATAAGTAGACAAGACGACATAATGCTTCAGCACTGAATTCCAAGCGTGCCCATCCCCCGGGCATTTGTCATCTTGTCGGCCCGGGGGTGGGGCATTTGTCAGTTCTTGTTAGAGGGTCTCAATGGGGTTAAACGATAGGCGTAAAACGGCCAAAAATTTAGCCGATAGCCGTAAAAATAAAAAAAAATTAACCGTTAGCCGTAAATAGCGTAAAAAAGAGTTAACCGTAAAAGAAAGTGTTCCCTAGATTTGCTTCTTTTAAGGAAGGTACTAAACTCATTTTTATTTCCCGGCTAGTGTGACTCCGTACGCACGTTAGGCGAAGCGCCCTTTAGGTGTTAACCAAGACCTAGGCTCCATTTCCGGCGCTTTCTTGGGGAACTAATTTTTTTTTCATAGCGAAAGTGTGGCTTCTTGCTGGGGATTAATATTTGCATTTTTCAGGAAGCCGCGCCCTCGAAACACTAGTCAAACAACACGCAGAGAAGTCACTGTTTGTAAAACACGTTGCCGATAAACAACATTTCCCTGTCTTTCTCGGACGCTACGGTAGACATCGCCATGCCTAGTCCCTGTTCGGCGTCTTCCCACGCAATCTCGGTCAAGGCATTTCAGTGGCGAACTCGCTCGGACCACGTGACCAGAAAGGCATCAGCCGCTCGGAATAATGCGGCCTACGGACAAGGCAACGGCAGACAGTCGTTCCGTACAGTCCTTCGCTATCATTCAAAACACTGGACACGGGAATTTTGTTATTGGCC